TTTGTGTTGTCTTGAGTGCCCCGGTAATTCTTATGTTTTTTCTGGTAGTCTTCCGTTTGTGTTTTCGTTTTTGGTGTGTAGGTCGGGAGCTTCGGGAGAACAGGTTTCTGGAAATTTTTTTGGGGAAACTGACACCATTAGAAAGAGGGATTCGTTAACAACGCGTAGAGAAAAACGGAACTCAATTCCGAGTTAAAACGAACCCGAACGAGCAAAAACCGTAAAGTCGTGCAGTGCAGATTTCATCGCCGCGGCCGCGACCCTTTCTTCACCGCGGCCGCGGCGAACAAAAATCTGCCAGTTCCCAAACTTCAGCGCAGAAATGTCGCGGCCGCGGAGCCTCCCGCGGCCGCGGAGGTCGCGACCAGATTTTTAAAAGCTAGGTTTTGTTCTTTTTTTCGAGTACTTGGCATGGGGACTCGTTCCCAGACCGAAAGGAATCCCACAAACTCTTTTTTTTTTTCCCTTTTCTCTTACCCTAAGAGCACTATATTAATATTGGATTTCATCATCACTTGGAGATTTTTATCTTGTGCTTGGATTAAACCTTCAATTTCATCTAAATTGTAAGTTTCTCTTTCAGTTGATCTTTGATTATGGAAGCTTGGGTTTGTATGGTTGATTGTTTAATCTTGAATATGAGTAGCTAAATCTTCATGCTAGGGATAGGGGATTAATGTTTTTATCTCAATTATGATTATTGTGCTTGTTGATTATTCAATTCATGTGGGTTGATCTTGACTAGGGTTTTGTGAAATTGTTTTGGAATTTTGAAAATCATTGAAGTAGTGACACTTCAATTTACAATTGTTCATCGATTGGGTTGGATTTGCTCTTGAATGATTTATTGGAATCTATTGCTTGATTGATTAAAAACCATTAAGCTATTTAATCGACTTTTTGAATCGAAAGAGGAGGAGTCGATAGACCTAGGCCACATGAAATTGGCTTGTTCGTAATGGTATTGTCAATATGTTTAAAAGGACTTATTGATTTGATTTAAAAGGACTTATTGATTTGCCGTTCATATTAATCCTCTTGTTACGAAGAGTTATTGAGGACAATCTCTGAACGAGTAGTTTATTAAATTCTCTTAACCGAATGATCATTTGCTCGATAATCGTATTTTGAGCCATAATGGATATTCCCGATTCCCTAGCTTCTTCATTGAGGTTTATCCACTTGGGACTCGCTTCCCTAAAGCTTCGTAAATTAAGCTAAGCTTTCATGTTTTAGGTAAATTTATATTTTATGCATTTTATTTTATTTCCTAGTTGATAATCCACTCAATCTTTATCTGATTAGAGTGTTTAGGATTTATTTTGCTTTTATGTGCTGTCAATACCAAAGTTGAATTCTGAACCGCCTTCCTCGTGAGATCGACCCGGGGAACGAATCTTTTGATTCGGTACTCGGTAAAAAGAATAATTTGTACACAACATTATCGACCCTTGACTATAATGCACTCACTCCAGTGCAGCAGTCCATAATCGCAAATGCCCAAAACATGCTCCAAAGTGGACTGACTGTCGGATGACAAGGGGTCACGCAAGGGACGTCGTCGAGTCAAGTTCTATCTCAAGAGAGCTATGTCCAACCGCAACCGACGCAGTCGCACCGGGCGAGGCATCGACTTGCTGCCAATATTGGCGGGCGTAGAAGACGCTGTGTCCGCGAACTCGATGGCAACACCGTGTCTGCCGACACCGTGCCTCCCAATACCGTGCCTGAGGAACAAGCAGAAGAAGGTCAAATTTTTTTACTTAACTACAATATGATTTTTAAATTATTTATTTATTTATTTATTTATTGTAAAGTAGAATTTCTGATTTTTCTTAAAATATCATTTATTCAGATACAGAAGAAGTTGCCACGCCCACAGATACAGAAGAAGCTGCCACGCCCACAACCTCGTCTTCTTTACAGACGTACCAGCGTCGGAAGGGCTCCCGGGAGCGCAGACCTCCGGATCAATTCACTCCTAGCAACTATTAGGAAATTTATGGATATTTTTTTTTTCTTGACTTTTGTGTAATTAAATTAACACATATTGGTATTTTGAATAAATTAGTGTGCTTCAATTTTGTTTGTGGAATTGATATATTTTGGTTGAATATTTGGTTGTTGAATATTTGGTTGTGGAATTGATTTCGACAAACAGGTGTTCTATTTTATTTCTGTTGTAAAATTGTTGTTTTTGTACAGTTACGTTTTACCTTTTTATTTTTTTAATTAAAAACGTATTTTCATAATACGGTTTCCTATGAAAATACGTTTTCAATTAAAAAAATAAAAAAATCAAAAATTTTACCAATTTTTTATAATTTATAGTATATAAAATCTATTTAAAAAAAAACGTATATCTAAAATACGTTTTTGTATTTAAAGCGTTTTTCGAAAATACGTTTCTTATAAATCATATTATGAAAATACGTTGTATTTTAATTTAATTTTCTTAATCACGTTTTATATTAATGTAATTAAGTTAATCATGTTTAAAAATTTAATTCGTTATAAAATGGAACATGAGAATACGTTTTACTTTAGAAACGTATTCTCATAATATGTTTTTCAATGTAAAACGTATTCTGAGAATACTTCTGTTTTATTTTGGTCGACAGGCTTTTTTTTTATTTTTGTCCAGTTAATTTTTTTTATTTAAATAATAATATCTATATTTCATATGGAGAGTTAAAATATTATTTTAAATTAAAATATAAATAATATTTCCTCATCACTCAAATTGTACAGAATTTCATGATTTAGGCCATCTATGTTTTCATACAATTTTATGGTTTGTAAGTAAGTGACAATAGAATAATCCTTCAGCCAATGTTAAGTGTACAATTATAGTCGACAACATTAATAAGCAACATTATCTAAAATTTTTAATGAGTCAAATCTTAGTCGTACATTTATTTGTGTCTCAACTATCCACATCATATTGACATTAAATGTTGTACAACAAAAATTACTTATTTCCTAATCTTTATAACCAAGTCAGTGATTGCAACACTATCCTCTAAACCAAAAGAAAAATGGAAACATATATATATATATATATATATATATAGAGTTATGATCATGTGAGAATGGTAGATGAGTGAAGGATATAACTGATTCAAAATATAAAGCTCATTGCATCAACACCAAAAACTAGTCTCTGTGAGTTACATTACAACAATGCCACAGATGCCATATGTGACTGAAGATGAAATTCACCCGCTTATTCAAAAAGTTCTTCAAAATTCGACACCAAAATGATGGCTGTCTTTGGCCAAATTGGACTCCTAAAGAAACTTCAAAGAATTAAGAGAGAAAACCAAAAAAAAAAAGAGTATATTTGTCTACAAGACCACAAATTTTGAAGCACAAGTGCAACAGAAACTTCGTATACTTAATATTACAAAATGGAGAACGGCAGTGCACTGCACAAGAGTCTTATTTCGAGCAACTCTTTTCTGTAAGTCCCGAATTAGAAAAGCCTAAACTGGAACAGGCTCAGCAACCGCATTTGAGGTGCCAACGTTAACCTGCAGTTGGGAAAAAATTAATCAAAACAAAACATGTGTTTATGGATTGCTATTTTCTCTATCGCACGTTATCAATGTGAATTCGAAATGAAAACAAAGATGCAGTAAGCACCATTGTGTTTTAGTTATGATATGATATTTGTATTGAAAGTGGAATTGTACTGAGTCAAAACAAGTCATCTTATGTCGCACTGAAAATAAGGACAGATTCATTTTCTACCTGTAAGTTATTTGCAAGAGCATGAAGTATGATCGTGTTTCGGTTTTCCGTGTTACAGTCTCCTTTAGCTGGATGAGACTGGCACGGGTGACTGACTCATTATTTAACTATATATGAACTCTTCTGATTATCAAATGAACTTTTTTCTTGTAGTTTGTATGGGTTAACTGAATATGTGAATTGGATTCATAGCCGAACAAATCCGATTCTATAAAAAAACTATAAAGACTCATTAAGTTACCTTTGCTGATTTAAAGAGCTCATCTAGCACTTCAGACAAAGTTGGGTGTGCATGCACTGCAAATTTTATATCCTGTAAAAGTAAAAGAGTTTCACATACCCAGTATATTCCCAACTGGTAAAATCGAGATATACTTAAACTGGAAAAAAAGAAATTTTTTGGCTATAAATGGTAAGCTTTACTGATGCTGCTTGAAAACAATAATTTCAGTTGGGTCCCATATTACTTGCACAATTCGGAATGGGTGATTTACACCATTTCGTGTGAGTTTAACCTTGTCTGAAAGATGCCATTCTCTCGTGCTCCAGATCGTTTATGTTTTTTCTTTTTTTTTTTTAAACAATGAGATGTTCCCAAATTCACTGTTGATAACAGCAGTTTTACAATGGAATTCATATATAATATGAAATATGCTCCTGCCACTTAGTAGGTGCACAGTATGTGACCAATCCAAATACAGTGTAAAATTTATTTCCTAGGAATGGCATTATGAAAGGAAAAGTTACCTGTATACGTGTACCCATGGCAATTGCATTAGAAGCTTCATGTATGAGGTCTGCAGCATGCATACCGAAAATATGGACCCCGAGGATCTCCCCATTATCGGGTCTGTATATTAACTGAACGACACAACAAATTCAGTATGCACGCCAAATTGTTTATCTTATCAACCAAAAAAAAAAGTGGATATAATGACAAAAAGGATCCATGAATTTTGGTACAAAGACAGGACAGGATTAAAACATGTGATGAAGTAGTCTTACAGAGCTCTTTTTTTTTTAAGTGATTAAGTAAATCATCTTAAAGAGTAGGCATTTTTTTCCAATCCCTTTTTCCCAAAGATTTTGTCCAGCTACCCAGGCCGAAGGAATTGAAAATGTAGAAAAAACAATTGAGTGAGTTCACCCTAAACCAACTTAATAGTTATGTATCATCACCTTGGCAAGTCCGTCCCCTTCATTTTCGGCGAGGGCTTTTGTGTTTGCTTTGAAACTTGTCTTGGCGATGCTTACTTCAAAACCTTCCTTCTGAGCTTTGTCTCTTGCTTGAGGCTAAAAGTTGGAAATTTTAGCGAACAATAACAGATAATAAGTCAAAGCACCGTTGATCAATAAACTACACTTCTGGCTATTCCTGGGATACTTCAGATTGCTACTAAGATTTTTCACTGATTCTGCATAGTGCATGGACAGGTCCTTGGTAGAAGTTCAAAATTAAAGACATTATCCTTTAACTACTTTCATTTCTAAATATGCATTATCCTTTAATCTACAAGGAGTCATTATTTTGTGAAGAAAAGAAAAACCACGCGGAATGACAGAACATGTTTTCTTTAGAAAGAAATCCAAATAAAAATTTCTAAAGTGATCCGTAGGACATGGGATATAGGATATAACTGAATGCTATAACTAAAGGCAACTAATGCACATGAAATGCGAAAGCAGCTGCTAAAAATTTTAGATGCAATTGGCAGACACGTTCACTATGAAAATTAGGAAATGAGTAGATAATGAAAAGTGGAAAGCTTTAGGATCACAAATAGTGAAAGGAAAATATGAAGTCTCGAAGAAAAGTAAGTATCACAGTATAATAGGAATATTCATGATTGAGATATATACCTCAGTCAGTCCAACCATACTGATTTCAGGGTGAGTAAAACATGCTGCCGGAATGCTTAAATGATTCAGAACATGGTCATGACCAGAAACTTGCTCAACAACTGCATCAACTCCAGAAGTTAATTTATGACTAAACAAGACAGAGAATATCAAATTGCGTTAATTCTTATATTCATCACCAGAAATTCCTTGCGCGCTTGCTGCATGGGCAAGCATCATTTTGCCATTAGCATCACCAATGCAATACAAATGAGGAACCTAACAATTATAATTGTGGGTGAGCAAAGGCTGCTGAAGTATGATTAAATGTTCAAAAACGTCAATGGGATATTGAAGACCTACCAGCTTCCCGTTTGCATCAATTACTCTCATGCGCTCATCAACAGGGACAAATCCTCGCTGTGTTTGCACATTTATCTGGACAGAACAAATAACTGACTTTCAAATTATAAAAATTAATTTCTAAGACGAACAGTCTGTGCTGATGCCACAGTGTACTAACATTTTCCAAACCAAGTCCCTGAGTGAATGGGGCTCTTCCAGTGGCAATAAGAGCTGCATCTACCTGCAGAGGATCATACGGCTCATATGTGAGGTTCTAGAAGCATTACATACAGTAGTCAAAAACAAATGGCTCATGTTCAAATTATATAGACAACTTGTGCATGCAGCAAAAGTAATACAGTCCAAATATCTCGTGACAGAGAATAAGAGTACCCAGAAAAAGGTTTCATTTACTTTTTACTAATGTAAACTGGGAATTCATCAATTCAAATCTTATTTTCCATTATGTCAATGGGCCTCTTTCAGATTGCTGAAATGTCCCATAAGACTTCCCCATAATATTTCAACTATATCAGGCAGCATATATTCCTCTGTAGTGAACTATGAGAAACTATGTGTTGAAGAGAAACTTATTCTTCACAAATTCAAAGGTAATAAACTCAGCAAGATCTCCACAACTTACCTCTAAAGAGTCCTTTAGCTCCTTTGTTTTTGCGTCAATCAACTCTATTTGTACCGGTTTTCCATCCTTGGCTGGAGTGATCTAATGATGGATTTTGTAAAACTTAAATTTATTGCTGGATATCTATGCTGGTTAATTTTTCCAAATCTAAAATGTAAATGCAACTGTCGAGCACCTTGCTAGCAAATACACCAGTGTGAGAATCAATCTTGCGAGGATTGATCAGAACTCGTTGAGCTAATTTTCCAATTTCGGGATCAAAGCCCGGCATGAGTTGATCCAAGGCTTCTATAAATGTAACCTGCACATATGAAGAGACTGAAGTCTTCGCTATCACCATTTACCATGAATCAAGGGTGTATATAGATGAACCGACAGATTTCTTTTCAAGTAGTTTAAAAATTGACCTTCAGTAAGTTGGGAAGCTATGATCATCAAATATGGAGAAACAGAAGCTTTCTTGAAAAGGAAAAAAGAACAAATATCTCTTTTGCCCTATGCTTGAAGGATATTTAGTGGTGCATAGATTGATCATTTAATGTGGTGCATAGGATGAATTGGAATGTTATACCTCACTTCCAAGTGCTGTATATACATCACTGAATTCTAGCCCAATATAACCACTTCCAACAATAGCAATCCACTGGGGAACACATTCCAATTTCAGAGCATGGTCACTAGTAATAACTGTTTTACCTGCAACATGTGGAAATTATGTGATGAATGAAGGCACCAGCAGAATATACATCCGCAACTCAAATTATTAATTAGTAGAAAGTGAAGTATATGAAGATAAGCTACTACCATCAACTTCAATTCCCTTGGGCACCAACGGGACGGAGCCAGTAGCAATTATTATGTCTTTTGCGGTTATGGTCTTGTCTCCAGAATCGCCTTTTCCATATTTTAGCTTTTGTGGACCCTGAGGACAATGTATACTAATATAGTAATATGTTTGAAACAAAATTCCTAACAATTCGATATTATTACGAAGACCTGAGAATTACGAGAATCAAATACATAGACTCACCAAGATTGTACCAACACCTGTCAATATATCAACACCAAGGGCTTTCATTGAATTGGTCAAGTTACTTCTTATTTTAGCAGCTAAATTATTTGCATGATCAGCAACTCCCTGTCTGTCATAGCTAGCAGCTGCAACCTATCATAATGGCACTAATTTATTGGTAAGCAGGATAACATGATTCAGGAGGGAAAAATAAAAAATAACGTTACAGAATGTTAATTATATATTATTATGCATACTTCATGAAGCAAATGACTTCTTCAGGAGGGAGAAATAAAAATAATGTTTATAGGCATTGACTGGATTCGTATACCAAATAGAAATGAAATATTTTTGCCTGAATTTTCTAAACATTATATATATTTCATTGAATATTCATTTTCCAGTCACTGCTGTTGTTAGTTTTAAAGTTAACAGGTAATCATCAGTCATTTCTGTGGGCAACTCTTGGCAATAATAGCATAACTATGGATGATGGAGCTTTGTGTCGTCACATAAAATACTATCAACATGACTGAAATTTAGACATGTTTGTGCATTTATGGAAATGATTGATACCTGCAAACCAAAAGACTTCATATGGTGTTCATTTTGAAGCTCTCTCATACGACCACTGACTGCAAGAAGTGCTTTAGACGGAACACAGCCCCTATTTACACATGTTCCTCCAATTACATCCCCTTCTATGATTGCAGTTTTTAAGCCCTGTAGTTCATAAATTCAATTTTCTGATGAATGTCTAATAAATAATCAGCATGGAAACTCTGAAACTATCGCAATACTGAAGACAATAATCAGCAAATTCATGATGGCAGATATAATTCACACCAACACAAGATTCTCAACCAATTAGCTCAACGAATTCATGGCAAAAGCACAAAATGTTATCACTTATCACAGAGCAACAAAATAGTTGCCAAGTCATTATCTCTAGGCATGCATGGATAGTTGTCGATAGTAATAACAATAAGAAGTCTAAGTAATTAATGACATTAAACCCACTACTAATTGGCAATCACGAGTTTGTTAAAAAGTACAACATTATCACTGGACATATAGCAGTCTTCTCCTTCTAATGAAAACCAAAAAGGAAAATGCTTATTCATATGGACCTTAGAGTCTTTCGACTTTTATATATCCATTTAGAGCATCAGATATGGAGTCTCTCAGTCACAAAGTATGCTAAAAATCCAAACAACGAAAGGCCAACGCCTAGTATCACATTGAAGGTCCGGATGAGTATTGAAGAACCAAGCTAGCTGATTCTAACCAACGTTATAGGGCTCATGTTTCAAACGGCAATATACAGAGGACTTCCAACATTTCCATTAACACGCTAAAACCACACATCGAAACCCAAAATTTTTAGCCACCAGGCAAAAGCCTGCGAAAACAGTGTTACCTTCTCAACGGCATGAAGCGCCGCGCCATGTCCGCCAACCCCAGCTCCGATAATCACGAGATCGTAGTCAAATCCACCAGAAGACGGCGTTCCATCGCCTTTCAATGCCGCAAATACACTGCCAAGAGTCAGACGCCTCGCGCGCAAATTCAATTGGGGGGAACGCAGGGACGACCGGTCCAACGACGTTCTCGAAACAAACACCTCCCTACGGAGACCGCAGAACCGAAAAGAGCGAGGAGGCACCGGCAGATGCACGTCGCCGGGGTTTCTAACGGAGAATCTGGCCACCGGCGACGGTGAGGAGAGAGATGTAGAAATCGCCTGCATTTTCCGAGAGCAGTAACTGCGCAGTGTGAGACTGTGTGAGTAGCTCGAGTGTGTGTGTGTGTGCGCGCGTGTGTGTGTGAGAGAGAGAACAGTTGGGTTTGGAGCTTTGATGGGTCCGTTGAGCGTTGGCGGAGTTTACGAAGAGAGACTGTTTTGGTTGGGTTTAAAAAAAAAAATCTGTTAAACGAAAAAAAAAAACAAAGGAAAAAACAGTGCAACCCAACGGGGGTCCATTTTCTGAAGCAATGAAATCTGATTGTGTGCTATGGCCCATAATATAAGCCCAACAGAATTTATTTAGCATTGGACCCAATCTATAAGGCCCAAAATGCAAATAAGGTGTTAAAGTTACCCTAATCTATATAAATTGAAAAAGGATGGTCAATAAATCATTTGTGAAAACTTCAAAGAAAAAATGAGTCAACTCAATTGACTTCCCCGACGACGAGAGCCTATAGAGACTATTACAACGCACTTACATAAAGCTCCAAAAAATAGAGAATCTAGCTCCTGCTAAATGAGAATTAGCAGCAAAACAAGAAAAACAAACACAAAACTACAACCCAATAACAACACAACACAGCACACAAATAAAATATAATCACAGTATCATCTCTGCTGAAGAAACAAACTACAACACACCATGTAATGTCACCCAGAGACAGTCGTCCACTCAAATAAGACTCCAGCTCGAGCGCTACTCTAGAAACTCCAGTGTAGCCACGACCAAAATCTTTTCCCACGACACACCTCCCACTGGATGGATTCTCTAGCTCGACCAACCAACCATTCAGCCACTGAAATCCCTAAAAGCGCCCACCGATCACACAGCCACCTTCAGCCCTCGGCTAAACGACCTCCCAACCCATAACATAAAACCAAGAAGACGGCGAAAGAGGGGGAAAGTGACTTAAACCTTAGCCCCAACCAGCTCCAAGGAGGCTGGTCGGAACCAACCATAAGTCATCGGTCGAAACCCCGAGTACCCCATGCCGCGACAGAGGCGCCTTGAACAATCGACGAGACCTGCATCCGGTGGAGATCCGTGGCTCCAAGCAGGGGCGAACAGTGCGGTCAACTGTGGAAGGCACCAGGCCGTGCAACAAGCTCTGTGAAGAGGAGATGTCGGCGGCAGAAGTCAAAAACATAAGCTAACAAATTTAAGGGAATGGGTTTGTAGGGTAGAAAGCATCCATTGTCCTCAAGATTGTGTTTTTCGTTTCGAAGTGGATACAACGACCTATATGTAATGTTTTATAATTATAGACGCGTATGTGTTGGGTGGTCATCAGGCTCGTCCCGTTGGCCCTGGGCTGACCCCAAAATGTTCTAACGACCTTTGTTTGATCCTGGACAGCACCCGGTTGATCAACACCCGCAACCGTTTTGTCCCAAACACGTCTCGATATCTTTGCTTTAAGCTGAAAACGAAAATTATCCAAAACTAATCAAATTTTAGCAATCAATTAACAACATAAATAATTTAAACATACTAAAAAAATAAGAAATAAATAAGAACGACTACACATGCTACGAGGATGGATCAAATATGACCTACCTCAGTCCCCTTTAGTCAATTCCTTAAAAGTGAGTCACCAAAGAACCTATCAATGTATACGTGATCTCAAAAACTCCGGAACTGCAAGCAGCGATACACACCACCGGTCGACGCACAAAGCTTGGCCCCGTAACCGCCCGTACATGAAAGAGTAAATTTTTGAATGGTTGCATAGAAGTGTTCTAAACCTTAGCCTGCCCTACAAAAATAATTTATCATGTGTTTAAAGAGGACAACGAACGACTTAGATCTAACCACTTAAATACGAACGACCAAGATCTCATTTGAGCTACAAATACCAACAATATATTATGACCTAACATTCACCATAAATTGTTTTAAAAGTATATATTTAATTTCCTTCTTCTTAATAATTTTATTGAGACAATAATAATAATATAATTAATAATACAACTTTGGTTATAATTTGCCTTTGGCAATAAACCAAAAAGGTCAATACACAAATCATAATCCATTAATAATCCTCTCGTGGACTCTGACTCTGACACTGATATGGATACACTGTCGGAAGTCCATGCATTATTATTTGATTCCAATCCTTTTATTTTTAACCCGTCCATTTACATCCAACCCTTTTTAATTTACACTGCTTTTTTTTTTTACACTATATTTTTTTATTTAAAAAAAAAAAAGCATATTAGTTTCGAATATTCAAACAGCCATTCACTCGGTCACCGTAAATCTCGCTCAAAGTAAAAAATTGTAAAAACTGCACCAGTCTTGCCGCAATAATCTGCTTTCAAACAATACCAACAAAAATACACAAAATAAAATAATAATATTAAAATAGAGAGATGCTACAGATTCGTCACGGAACAATTCTGTCGGGACTTGTAACCGTTAGACCATCATGTAACTGTCAAGGATAGTTGATTTAACGATTACAACCCTCAACTGAATGGTTCCGTAACGGGCCGTAGCATTTCTCATTAAAATATATATAAAATACAAAAAGTCAAAAGTTTTAGAAAAAATAGAAAAAGAAGCGCCATTAACCCACCATTAGTTTCGCCCACGAACCAGCCCACATTTCAGTGCTCTTTGCCCACATCTTTTCTTTTTCTTTTTTCTTTTTTTTTTCCATTTTTTTTTCTTCACCACTTTCTTTCATCTCCAGGTACTTAAAAAAAAAATAAAACAAATTATATATGAATTTGTTTTTCCCATAAATAAATAAATAAAATTGTCATTTATAACTGGATTAATGGGTATAATTTTTCTGATGATTTTTCGTTTGTTTGTAATTATTTTTCTCCAGTTGTGATTTTTGAAGAAGGAAAAAAACATATAAGGCGATTGATTATTAATGGAGTGGATAGAGACGAGAGCTTTGAAGTCCAGTGCCCTGTCCCAGATGAACGCCAATCACAACGACGACGTTTGGTGCTTCGCCGGAGTCAACGCCGCCGTCATCCCCTCCTCGGACGAAAATTTCCCCGTCGACGACCTCCTCAACCTCGATTTCTCCGATAAGGACCACCTCGAAACGTGCTTTACGAAATCGAAGGACGAGGAAAGCGTTTTCCTCGAAACCAATTCGAATCACTCCACGACAACTTTCTCCGGCGCCGGCGCCGACGAATTCGATAGCATTTCCGCCGCCGGTGAACTCGTCGTCCCGGTAAATTTTCCCTAATTTCGCCAAAAAAAAATCTTCCCTAATTTCGATTTTTCATACTCTGTTTAGGTATTTCATGGCTTAATTTTTATGATTTATTTGATTAAGTTTTTTTTTTCATTTAATTGACAAAATTTGTTGCAGGCCGACGATTTGGAGAATTTGGAGTGGCTGTCGCAATTCGTCGACGACGATTCCACGGCGGGGCTCTCCCTGTTATGCCCGGTCGGAATTTTACCGTCCAACGGCGGGGTAATCCAGGGCAAAAGAGCCGAACGCGTGAACCGCCCGGTTCACAAGATTAGCGTTCCGTTTTTGTCCTCGCCGATCCCGAGAAAACCGAGGACCAAGCTCCTCACGAGGCCGCGCGTGCGGCGGCCGTACTGGTTGTGCGAGGTCGAGAAATCGGCGGTTCCCGAGGCCGACCGGTTCATCGGGGTCAGGAAACCGCCTGTCAAGCGGCGGAGGAAGGCGCCGGAGGAAGACGCCGGCCGGAGGTGCACCCACTGCCAGGTCAGCAAGACGCCTCAGTGGAGGACCGGGCCTCTCGGCCCAAAAACGCTGTGCAACGCCTGCGGCGTGCGGTTCAAATCGGGCCGGCTTTTCCCGGAGTACAGGCCGGCCTGCAGCCCGAGTTTTTCCAAGGAGATGCACTCGAACAGCCACCGGAAGGTGCTGGAAATGCGGCGCAAGAAGGAGGTTTGTGAAGGCGCTTGAATTCGGGTCCGGGTGCTGAGTCGGGCCGAGCCTGGTCGTTAGCTTTAGCAATTAGCCTTGGGCTGGGCTTTGATTTTACAGTAGTGTTTTGCCTGTTTGGTTGGTGCATGGTAGTTTGCTTACACCATTTTTAATTGTTATTTTAGGGAGGTTTTGGACTTTTTAATTTTTATTTTATTTTTATAGCATAAGAATGTATTTTGCTTAAAAAAAATATAATGTGACGATCTTTTAGACCAACTAACACACAAAATATATGCTGATTTAATTAGATGAAGGACAAATTTGAATGTTTGATGTAGCAATTTTTTTTTTTTTTTTTT